GCAATTGTTTGGGCTTTGAGGCGAAGAGATCAAATAGCCATACGGGATGATGCGGCTCAGGTTAGGGCGAGTGCCCGGCCCTGATGATGTCATCCTTTTTTATTTCCACTGTCTTTTAAGATTTTAGATTCTTTTTAGAATAAGTACAATAAAACCAAAGTTCATCAATGCAGTCAGTACAGCGTGTATTCTCTTTGTGTTTTTTTTTTCTTAAAGCCACTTCGTTTTAACCTATGAATGCCCACTCGAGCAGCAGTTTAAAGTGGATCTTTATGGCTCTTTGTCACAAACACACATCATTTGTTCCATTTCTGTAGTTGATGGGGGGGAAAAAGGCCAAAGGAAACACAGTTTAACAGACATGACACAGAATAGAATTTTCCCTCATCCCTGACATCAGCTCCTTTAGAGCAGAGCAAGTTACAAAATAAACATCCCTTCCTTTAAACGTAGTTCGGATGTATTAAAACGTTTCCTATGAGAATAGTATCATGTAAAAAAAGGGGATTTAAACTCCTCCGTTGCTGACTACTCTTATTCTAACAGCTTTCTTCCGCTCAGATTTGATGACGGCACGAAACTTGTAAATTCACACGAATCTAACAACTTGGGCATTTTCATGTTGTAGTGTCATTGTTGGTAACTGAAGCCCTTCCTTTAATGTTAATCACTATTTTATGAGATCCTAGTCGGGTAAAGAATGATGATTTTCCAGAATTGAGGTTGAAAGATTACACAATTAAGACAGAACTAGCCAGCAAATCAATGAAAGCGTGTTATTTTTTATTTTATTTCTTTATTTTATTTTATTTATTTATTTATTTTTTTGTTATTAAAGTGTTATTAAAGTGGGGTTAGGATTAGTACCGTTGTCTGGGAACTAGAAATTCATTTATTTTTTTATTTTTTTTTAACTAGGCTTTGGGTTGTAGACATTGGTCATTTAGGACCAAAACGGAACTCGGCTCCCTAACAAAGGAAGCGGGGAACGTTGTGGGGGGGGAAGCGAAAGCGGCGGGCGTCCCGGGGAAACGGCGCCCCCTGGCGGCGCGCTTCTCTCCGGGGGATTTCCTGAGCGGAAGCGGCGGAGGGGGTTTCCAGTGCGATCAGCGCAGTCCTGCCCGCTGGATTCATCTGCCGCTCCGGATCCCCGCGACGGTCTCGCCGGAGAACTTTGACGGGACGGACCGGAGCCCCCCCCCCCCCCCCCCACCCCCCAGAACCCCGAGCCCGAAAACCCGGACCCGGACCATGAGGAGCCCGCCCGAGGCCCCGAGGCTCCCCATCAGAGTCGGCGGCACGTCGACGGCTTGAGCCCGCCGA